TTGGGTAATAATGTCTATCACATTCTACCATCATTTCTAACCCCACGTCCCTTTTCTTTCCTTCCCACCCCTCTGCCCTATCTAGAGTTCATCTATTCCTCCCATGCTCCTCCTCCCTACCCCACTATGAATCATCCTCCTTATATCAGAGACAACATTTGGCATTTGGTATTTTTGGGGATTGGCTAACTTTTCTTATCATTATCTTATCTAATTCCATCCATTTACCTACAAATGCCATGATTTTATTCTCTTTTATTGCTGAGTAATATTCCATTGTGAATATATGCCACATTGTTTTTATTCATTCATCCACTGAAGGGTACCTAGGTTGGCTCCACAGTTTAGCAATTGTGAATTGTGCTGCTATAAACATTGATGTGGCTGTGTCCCTGTAGTATGCTGTTTTTAAGTCCTTCGAGTATAGACTGAGGAGAAGGGTAGCTGGGCCAAATGGTAGTTCCACTCCCAATTTTCCAAGCAATCTCCATACTGCTTTCCATATTGGCTGCACTAATTTGCAGTCCCACCAGCAATGTATGAGTGTGCCTTTTCCCCCCACATCCTGGCCAACACTGACTGTTGTTAGTCCTCATAATAGCTGCCATTCAGACTGGAGTGAGATGAAATCTTAGAGTAGTTTTGATTTGCATGTCTCTAATTGCTAGCGATGATGAACATTTTTTTCATGTATTTGTTGATTGATTGAATATTATCTTCTGAGAGGTGTCTGTTCAGGTCCTTGGCTAATTTATGGATTGGGTTATTTGTTTTTTTGGTGTTTTCTTTTATTGATTTTTTTTATTTCATTTATTTTGCTTTACAAATAACTAACACCAAACCTCCTCAAATTATTCCATGAAATAGCAAAAGAGGAAACAATTCCAAACTAATTCTTTGAAGCTAGAATTACCCTGATACCAAAACCAGGAAGACACATTAAGGAAAGAAAACTCCATATCAATATTCTTGATAAAATAGATGTAAAAATAATAAATTTTTGGAAAATTACATAAAAACATATTAAAAATATAGTGAACCATGATCAAGTGGGATTAATTCCAGGGATGCAGGCTGGTTTAACATACAGAAATCAATAAATGTAATTCATCACACCACTAGACTTAAAGAAGAGAATCACATGATTATCTCAAGAGATGTATAAAAAACATTTGGAAAAAATTAGCATACATTCATGCTCAAATAGTAGGGGTAAGAACATACCTCAATATTATAAAAGCTATATATGCTAAACCCAAGGCCAACAACATTTTAAATGGGGAAAAATTGAAAGTATTCCCTCTAAAAACTGTAACAAGACAGGGATACACTTTCACCTCTTCTATTCAACACAGTCCTCAAAACTCTAGCTAGAGCCATTAAACAAAAGAAAAAAATTAAAGGACTACAAATAGAAAAAGAACTCAAACTATCTCTATTTGCCTGTGACATGATTCTATATTAAGAAGACCCCCAAAATTCTACTGAAAAGTACCTAGAACTCATAAATGAATTTAGCAAAGTAGCAGGATATAAAATTAACACCCATAAATTAGTTGCGTGATTCATCAGTCATGAATCTGCTGAAAGAGAAATTAGAAAAACTATCCCATTTACAATAGCCTCAAAAAGAAAAAAAAAAAAAAACCTTGAGAACTTGAGAATCAACAAGAGGTGAAAGACCTCTACAATGGAAACTACAGAACACTAAAGAAAAAAATTGAAGACCTTAGAAATGGAAAGATCTCCTATTTCTTGGATGGGCGGAATTAGTATTGTTAAAATGGCCACACTAGCAAAAGCTCTGAACAGATTTAATGCAATACCTAAATTCCAATGACATTCTTCATAGACATAGAAAAAGAAGTCATGAAATTCATTTGGAAAAATAAGAGGAACAGAGTGACCAAAACAATTAAAAAAGTGAAAAGTGAAGCAGGTAGCATCATAATACCAGACCTTAAATTATACTACAGAGCTATAGTAACAAAAAATCATGATATTGGAACAAAAAAAAAACCCCATAAAGATTAATGGAATAGAATAGAAAGCGCAGAGACAAACCCACATAAATACAGTTATCTCATACTAGACAAAGGTGCCAAATACATAAATTGGATAAACAATAGTCTCTTCAACAAATGGTTCTGGGAAACTGGAAATCCATATGTAATAGAATGAAATTTAACCCCTATCTCTCACTGCATAAAATTCAACTCAAAGTGGATCAAAGACCCTGCACCTAGCAGAAGAAAAGTTAGACTTAATCTTCCAACATGTGAACTTAGAAACAAACTTCCTCTACAAGACTTCTAAAGTGCAAAAAGTAAAATCACCTCAGACTTTTATCTTTTGCTTTTAGGAAACAAAGGGGGTCAGAGTCATCTTCCTATATGTGCCATTTTTTTAAGCACTTTTAACCCAAAATGTTTAATATGCCAAAACAAAATGTTTGCGGTGACATATACTTAACCTCTTCAGATCTCAGGCTCAGATGGGCTAATTATTTCTTTTGCTTAGGTTGATTCTTATGATGTGACTGTGGATGAAGAATTGGGGGATATCCAACTTATCAGGATTGAGAAGCGCAAGTACTGGATCCATGATGACTGGTACCTAAAGTACATCACACTGAAGACACCCCACGGGGATTACATTGAGTTCCCCTGCTACCGCTGGATCACTGGTGAT